GGGGCACGGCCTGTGCCCTGGCCTCCCGGGCTGCGGGGTGGGTAAGCGGTGCCTCAGGCCGTTCCCTGCAGCGGAGGGAGGGGCAGTTGGGCAGGTGCCGGTCCCGGAGCCCGGCAGGAGGGCAGGAGGGCATGATTTTAACGTGTTGGAGCTGGGCAGAAGACCCTTTCGTGTCCCCTCGCGACAGATCGAGGCAGGGGCCTCCTGGTGACCGCTCCGAGGGGCGGTGGGTGAGGAGCACCCCCAGTTCCACTGCCCAGCAAAGCTGTAGCGGTTAAGGGACTGGTACCTAAACCAAAGGGTACAGCACTGGGCTGCCTTTTATCAGTTGAACAGTTTGATCTTGGATAGGACCACGCGTGGGGAAAAGGAATTGTACACACACCGTACAGAAGTTTGTTTATTATGATGGGCTCAAACAAGTACTTAATCACTCCGTCTTAACTTCTTTGTGCAGCTTGACTCAGGGTTAACGTCAAGAGATGTCAACTCCCCCTCTCGCTGGGGCAGGCATGCCGCCTGGTGCTTTCTCAGGGACACAGGCTCAAGCAGCTAGGGAGGTAAATACAGCTTCTCTCTGTCGAATTGGCCAAGAAACTGTGCAGGACATTGTATTTCGAACCATGGAAATCTTCCAGTTACTGAGGAACATGCAGGTGAGAAATAACTTTTTCTTTTTACGGTCCTCAACTTCCCATGTTTTTACCACCAACTGCCGGGATATGTAGGCACAGGAGATAGCTTAGGACATTTAAACATATAACTCGGTCAAACTGCTTTGAAAAGGGGGCTTGACTGGAGAAGTGGATACTCCTCTTAATATATTTGCTTACTGCTGTACGTTAAGTGAAGATGGGGAAAATTCAGAAATACTGTATTGTTATTGCCCCACAATAAATATACTCTAAATACACTTAATGTCTGTGTTTTCCTTTAAGAATAGTGAAGCCTGTTTATATGCTAGTTACATTTCTCTGTTTTGTTAACATCTGGGGAGTAATTTTAGAGGAATTTTCATTGATCTTCTTCTGTAATATTTTCCACCTAGAACTTTTTGACATTTCTTTTTGTTATTAAAGTGGGCATGATCCTTATTTGTGGCTACTTACTGAGAAGACATACAAACATTTGTTGTGCTTCTCTGTTGAGAGCAGAAGATAAATAATCGCTCCCATTCCCTCTGTATTTTCATGACTCTGGCAGTTTCCTTCTGCAATTATCTTAGGTATAGGTATACATACTTAGGGTTTGCTAACTTTGAATTCACTTTGATTGTGTCTCTGAATTGTGACCTGGGGTTGAGACACTAAGTCTCAAAGTGTAATACTCATAACAGATGACAACAGTGTCATGCTTAAGCATTTTGAAGACATTCACTAAAAAGAGTTACAGAGGGATTGACAATGACCAAAGTGTAGAATACGTGAAGCTGTTTGACAGCAGTGATTTGGCACATCAGATGAGCAGATAAAATGCAGAATTTTGCTGATAGAGAAAACAGAAGTTTCAGTTGATTCCTGTGGGGATAGTGTAATTGTCTTATTTTAAAATGTAGAAAACCCCCTCTGTTTATTTTGTGTGATAGAAACTTTAACGTAGTATTTTTAACGTTTTGGGGTTTTGGTTCTCTAAGTTACCGAATGGTGTTACTTACCATACTGGAACATATCAAGACAGACTGGGAAAGCTGCAGGAACATCTCCGTCAGCTATCGATACTCTTCAGAAAACTGAGACTAGTTTATGACAAATGCAATGAAAACTGTGCTGGGCTCGATCCTGTTCCCATAGAAGTAAGTATCTTTATTCATATATAAATTAACAAATCAGAATAACCACTCTCTGCTTAGCATATCATCCATTCTCCTGGGTTGCAGGAGACTCATAACAAGTTTTAAATGCGACTGGAATTATTCAGTGGACTGAATTCTGTTTATTATTTGGAGCTGGTTGAAAGATTGTGAAACTTTCACATTAACATCAACAATTCTTACCAATTGGGATGGATCCAACTTTGAAATCAGACTTCATTTAAAATGTTAGCCTTTTTCCTCAGGCTTCTTGGTACATTTATCAGTTTGTTTCCACTAGGAAAAAAAGAGTCAAAAGAGTCAGGGCCAGTTTTTTTGAAGAGATTGTTATAGTGGGGAAAAGTCTGCTTTAAGCTCTCACCTGCCAGCCTGGCTCCCTGAGTACTATGCGTTATTCACTTGCTCTGGCCATCAGTCTGCGCCTCTATAGTTCCCTCAGTCAGCTGCTCTTAACCTGCTGAGCCAGTATGAACCAAATCTGAATGCGCAGTGATGATGGAAAAGTGAACAGCATAAGACTTCCAGGAAGTAGGATCGGCCAAAGTTTTTCCTAATAAAAATGCTAAAGAAGGACAACGAAGCTGGTGAAAGGTCTGGAGAACAAGTTTTATGAGGAGCAGCTGAGGGAACTGGGGTTGTTTAGCCTGGAGAAGAGGAGGCTGAGGGGAGACCTCATCGCTCTCTACAACTACCTGAAAGGAGGTTGTAGCGAGGTGGGTGTCGGTCTCTTCTCCCAAGTAACAAGCGATAGGACAAGAGGAAACAGCCTCAAGTTGCACCAGGGGAGGTTTAGGTGGGACATGAGGAGACACTTCTTCACTGAAAGGGTTGTCAAGCATTGGAACAGGCTGCCCAGGGAAGCGGGTGAGTCACCATCCCTGGAGGTATTTAAAAGACGTGTAGATGTGGTGCTTAGGGACATGGTTTAGTGGTGGACTTGGCAGTGTTGGGTTAACGGTTGGACTTGATGTTCTTAAACATCTTTTCCAACCTAAATGATTCTATGATTCTATGATAATATTACACCCCAACCTAAGTAACAAGTTAATATGCATGTGATGAGCAACTTGCTCCCAGACTTTTAAACTAATTTCTTCTTGCTTATTTGCATCAATTACTAGTCTTTCATTTGTCTGTAACGTGTATGTGAACAAAGATGTAATTTTGCTATCAACTTCAGCTTTTCTCAGTTCAGGACAGAAGAATCAACAATAGACTGTAGACTTTGTGGATGTATGTTATGTATAAAATGTTACAGCTTGTAATTATTTTTGAATAAGATGCTAGTAGCTTGGGAGTGTTCTGACACAGAAGCATGTATTTGTTTTGTATTTAGTATATTTACTGATTCTTTTTAATTTTTTTTTCTTAGGAAGGGAACATGCATTAATATTCATTTAGAAATTCTTTATCAGAGATTTTTGGCTTTGTAGAAGCTTACAAAAAAGATAGTACGCTATACACCTGAGGAGATCACAGTGGGAAAATTCATACAGAAAAACTCCTATTAGGTAACTGTGAGCCTGGTCTTAAGAATAGCCAAACAGAGGCACACTAAAATAGCAAGTCATAATTAGGGTATTAACCAAGTAGCTATGTCAAGCCAGTCATAATTATGTTTAGTATATCACTGAAATACTTTATAATAATGATAATTTCATGTTTGTGGTATTTCATAGTGTGGAATAGTAAATTTTAAAATCACAATCTACAGAGTTGAAGAATACAAGGATTACCTGTGACAAACATCTTAAAGTATAAAGACTGGGTTCTGGCTGCAGTTGTGAAGTTGCTTAGGTCTAGGTATGGCAATATGTGGGATTGTGTCTTTTTGAAGCACATCGTTTTCCTGGAGAACCGACAGGTCATTCCAAGGCCTTTGGGTTTGCGGCGATGAAGTAAGCCTGTCTCCACTTCCTCTTGGGAAGTTTGAACCTTTGTAGAAAATGGTAGTACCTTATGTATCTCCTGTTTTCAGTTTCTTTTTTTCTTCTTCTTTCCTTTTTTTTTTTAATTTTTTTTTTCGGCTAATGTTTCTTGTCTTCACAGCAACTTATTCCATATGTTGAAGAAGATGGCTCCAAGCACGATGATCGTGGTGCTGCAAGCCAGCTTCGTTTTGCTAGTGAAGAGAGAAGGGAAATCATGGAAGTAAATAAGGTAACAAAGTTGAAATTAATTTGCGTAAAACTGTCACTTTGTCATTACAAAGCTTAAATTTCTAGATTGCTGTACTAAATGCAGCATGTGTGATGACTACCATCAAACTTGGTAATAAATACTTCTTGCATATAACTATTTCAGAATTACCTTTTAGGCAGTTTTTTTTTAGCTGTACCTCTGGCTGTAGAGTTTAGGTTTCCTGACAATTTTAACTTGTGCCTCTTTTTAAACCGATATATATTCTTCTGAATACGGTGTATTATGTTTATGCTTAACCCACTACATATTGGCAGTACAGATTGAGATATGGTGCCTGTTGAACTTACTCCTCTTCAAAACTTACCTTAGGCATTAAAAAAATGGGTATTGAACATCAGATGTGTAAATATTATCACAGTGATGTGAGTTGGTAAAGGATTTTCAGGGCTACTTTCTGTATTTTGACAGTTTGAGGAAGACCGTTCTTTTGTTAAATGTAGTATTTATTGAATCTTGACTCATTCAGAAAAAAATATACTATGTATGATAAAGATGCTGTTAAATTTTCAGTTTGAGTGGCAGTATGCAATTGAGTACAACTACTAAAGATGGATTCAAATCTAAAAATAAATATGCTGTAGTAAATGCTAATATAATACTGAGATGAAAAATATGTCGTTTTACCAGACCACAATTTTGAGCAGTTTCTTCAATCTGTAAAGTACAGATTGAAGAAATCCTACAAAACCAGGATTAATTAAATATTTCTGTAGCTGTAATATCTGTAAATGCTTTGTAAAAAGGAGGCATAATCTACAAAAATAACCAAGCAAAGGAAATAAATGAGTAAAATATTTCTTTATGTAGAGAATATTTGGTGGATTTTCAGCTTTTAAAATATTTCTGGTATTTTAATAATTGTACCAAATTTTTCATAACCCATTTATGTAGAAAAATGCATGCATATTGTACAGGAGAAAATGGGAACAACGTGAATTTAGAGAAAAGCAGTTGTCAGCTGTCCTGTTGTATTCTTTCTGTTCAGTGCTGATGTAAGCAGGGTTGTATATATTATATTGTATGTAATGTTGTACTGTGAATTTATGCACATTTATTTGCAATCTTTAAGTGTTAATAAGCTTAACTGTCCATATTTGCTGTGGTTTTGATAGTTTTATGACATGTTTTTGCCCTTGTTGTACTTGTATGCTAATACGTTTTTAAACCTCCTTGGTGTGATCTTGTGAGAAGAATTTCATGAATGTTTATGATGAGTTCTAAACCTTAAAAACGTTGATGGTGTTACAGGACCATTGGTAGCAAATTGGTAATTAAGAATGTACGCAGACATTCACTTAAATCTGGTCTGAAATCCTGTATTTACACTGAAATGCCTAGACCTAGTTTCCAGATTTTCCACAGTCAATCTTCAGAAGATAGTTGAACTTTCTCTAGTATTTTTGTGGACTAACTGCTGCCAAAGAAATTTAAACTTCTTGTTTTTGAAAGTGCACTGAATTTTTTCTTTTATCTCTCTCCAGCTGTATAAGTACATCCACTACCAGTTTCAAAGTTCCAATTTTAATACATTACAGAGTAGGAAATGCTTTGGTTTTTTTATGACTAGAAATAAAGAAATTCTTATTTTTGCAAAGAAAAATCACTAGAATCTGGTTAATTAGTCTAATTTCTGACACTGGCTCCTGGGCTCAGATAGCCCTTTCTGGTTCTTAGCTGGCACTCCTGACAGCTTTTCAGTCCTCTGTAGTATGTAACATCCATCTTCAACTCAATTTTGCTTTATTTATTTTAGCAAAATTTCAGTAATACAAAATGTTGATGAAAATGCTGTGACAGGGAAACCAACATGACAGATGAAGAAGCTTTTTATATTCTTGACCCACTGTCTTCCTTCAGCTGGTTGTCCTGCTCTCACCTAGTCCTTCTTGCTGTGATAGGCAGTATTTTTTCAGTGTTGCGTGTTACTGGTACCAAAAAAAGCATTATTGCAATAACCCAATACTTTGACACTATTGAGACATTTGAATTCTTAGGCCTTTCACGGGTCTCTTAATTCTGCCATTCTTGCTGTGATATCCCAGCTTGTCTGATCTCTTTAGTAGCTCTGGATATATGTGAAAGACACTAACTGCCCTGCAGTGTGGAGCACAGCCAAAACCAGTAGATCATATAAACCTTATGGATCATATATTCTCACACAAAACCATCCCTCCTTCCAGGAACCACTGACTTGAAACATAGCAGCTCTGCTTTGCTACCACAGTTGTCTGGGAAGGGGGAGCACCCTCAGTGGAGGAGGAGAGGGGTGTCACGTGCTTCCTATACTCACCATCTCCCTCATGGGGCAGGAGAACCTGTTGATGTAGCAGAGTTCCTAAATACTGCAGTAGCTTTTGATGATGGTTTACTGTATAGTGACATCTTTTGGTCGTCTTTATTTATTTACTATATTAGACTTCTGTTTTAGGTCAGAAAGTTTAATGTGCTCACCTTGGCTAAGAAGTACTTGTCCATTAATTTAAAATGCAGATCAGTTTACAAGGTAATGAATTTCTGTCCTAGCAATTCAGTAATATTTAGCAATTGTAGGTTTAAATAAAACCTATTAAGTTTAAAAACAAAAGGGATTTTTGCCAGCACTAAGAAGAGTGCACCATTATTCTAAAACAACCAAACAAACCATTTATTGAGCACTGACTACCTCTACCTTTTGTACTAAACAATTCTCTCCTGCAGTTTCCCAAAATGTTGCTTATCCCTTTTATCTGTATTTGCTTTCTAGGGTTGTAAATTGTTGAGGTGGTTGACTGTTTTCTGGAATAAATAATTTGCTATTCCAAAATCAGTTTAGCATTTGCATTGGTTCTACTAATACAAGTCCTGATCCAGTTTTCACTGAGCATAATTGCTATTTGCAACAATTGGAAGCTGTTACCAAAATTTCCTCACTTGTCTTCATATTTTTTGAGTCTTTGATGTTCAATCTACAGGTTTTTTACCTTCTAAGTATAGCATCATGTGTAATATTTTCAAGATGTCAGGCTCACCTTGGGTCCATGGTCTTGTAGTACATTTGACAGGACTTACAACAGAAAATATCAAATCACAGACTGAGAACACTTTGTGTTGCTGCCTTATCAGCAGTTTTCTTCACTGCTTGTTTTTAGAAATGGAGCAAGTACAGCTTTGCTTTTTTAGATGCTGTAGGTCTGGTTTCAAATGAAGCACTTAGGAAAACCATTGCATAATTAGTAGTCTCAGTACATTTGGCTGAAAATTAAATGATGTGAAATAGCATTCAACATTCCAGGTGACCCTTTAGAAAACAATCATGTTTGATATTCTTAATTAATCTTTGCTAACTGGTTAACAGTGATCTTGCTAAGAGAGGAAAAGACAATCTGCATGACAGGCTTTTAAGCTAAGCTGTTACAAGTTTTAGCTCTGGGCTTTTTTGATAACAAAACCATTGTGTACTGCAGCTGATGTTGTTTAGGGAAGTAGTCCTTAAGATGACAGCAATTTGCAATTAGTCTTTCTCTTTGGAGAACTTTACTTGAAAACTACTTTTGACTATGCTGAAAATCTGCATTGCTTTCAAACTATCTTGCACACTATTTGTGTGTATTTTTAATTTGTTTTGTATTTGTAGAGTCCTTTTTCACCCAAAGTATGAATGTGCACCAAGAAACACTTTAACAAGAGGGGAAGAATTGTTTATTTGTATACCTTCTCAGCAGATTAATCTGCACCAGGAGCAGTTCCATCCTGTTTTGGGTACCTAAACTGGCTCTCTGCAATGGTAGGATCATAGAGGAATTTAGGCTCAGTGGGAGGTCTGGAGATTGTCTGATTCAACCCCCAGCTCAAAGCAGAGCCAGCCAGCAAGGTTAGATCCAGTTGCTCAGGCTCATATCCAGTAGCATTTTGAATATCTGTAAGGATGGAAATTCTGCCCTTTTGTGGGCCCTTCTTAAGTGTTGACTTCGACTGTGAAAGTTTTCCTAATGTTACATTGGAATTTTCTTTGTTGTAACTCATGTCCACTGCCCCTCATTCTTTTGCTGTGTACATTCAAGAAGAGTCCAGCTTTGTCTTTTCTATGATCTTCATTAGGTAGCTGAAGACAGCATCGTGATCCTGCCTTAGCCTTCTCTGCTTGAGACTGAATAAATATAGTTTTAATCGTCTTGGTGGCCTTCCACTAGATGTTCTCCAGTACGTTAGTGTTTTGTATTGAGCCCCAAATTGGACAATTGTTCTCCAGAGCTCAATAGAGGAGAATAACAATTTCATTTGACCTGATAGGTACACTCTTGCTAATACAGCACCGTGTGCAGTTAGTCTTCATTGTTGCAAAAAGATCCACTGCTGACTTATGTTCAACTTTTCAGAAAGCTTCAAAAAGGACGTCAGGTCCTTCTCTGCAAATCTGCTTTCTATTCAGTCAGCCCTCTGCCTGTGCTGTTGTATGAGTTTATTTTGTTTTCAGATGTAGGATGTTGCTTTAATTGAAGTCCCTGAGATAGGTGGTGGCCTGCCTTTCCCACCTGTTGAGGTCCCTCTGAATTGAACGTCCTACCACTGAGTATATTGACCACTATCCCCAATTTGGTATTGTCCACAAATTTGATACTTTGATATGGTTATTAGGTGATTAAGTGTGGATAAATCATTAATGAGAATATTAAGAATATTGACCTTAGTATCAATCCTGAGAAACATCAAGAGTGACCAGCTGCCACTTGGTCTTAATACTGATGATCACAACATTTAGAATCCAATAGTCTAGCCAGTTTTCTATCAATCCTATAATCCACCTATCCAAACCACATCTCTCCAATTTGGCTACAAGGATACTATGAGAGACTATATCAAAAGCCTGACTAACATGAAAGTAAAGAAAATCCCCTGCTCTCCCCTTGGCCACACAGCCAGTCATTTCTCAATAGAAGGCTATCGTGTTGGTCAGGCACAACACATCTTTGGTAAATCCA